TTTCTCACCTAGTCAGGAATGATGTAGCCCAGGTACCTGCAACCTCCTGAGATACCCACATCAGGCATACCAGAAGACTTCAGGGCCATCTACAACACATTGCACATGCATCATGGTGTGTTATCAGGGGACCAGCTGTAAAAACACAAAAGATACAGCTGGTTCACAACGATATAATATTGGAAGATGGCGGTGCTAGACTCAGCCTGCCGCAGAGTGGCAGGTTTTACTAAAAAATACTGTTCATGGCAATTCTTGCCAGATAAGTATGTTAAAAAAAAATAATTATTAGAAAATGGCCCACATACCTTTGGCAACTTTGAAAATTCTGTTGTCAGAACCACACAAAAGTGGCCACATAAGGTTCTCTCCATCATCCCACTCCCTTTCTCTCAACAATTTTATTTAACTAAATTTATTGTATTTAGGATGGCTAGGCTTTTGGGATGGTCTGCTGGCTTTCTTTAGGATAAAATCTGTTCAGTATGGTTCAGAAAAAGCTGCAAAGGGATGGAGCCACTGCAGAACAAGAGTGAAGAACTGTTGATCTTCAGATCTGTGACTGATGTTTTGCAGGAAAATTGACATCAAACAACAACAAAATCCAAAATTTGCAGCATTCTGTACAAAGCAAGTTGCAAGCTTAATGCCTGCCCACCTTGACACTATTTATTCTTGATGGGTGTAATGTTGCCCCCATTTTTTTCTCTGTGATTTAAGATGGTCAATTCATTTTGGTTTCTGGTGCTTTAGCCTTGAAGACTGATATTTCTGATCACATAATGTTTAATGACTATGTTTTATGAGTAAATAAAAGCTGAAATTATGGTTACATTTGAACCCCAATGAAGGGTCACAGCCCAAGTTTTTTCAAATGTACTGTATATATATTTTGTGTTTCATATTAATAATTTGTTGTTTTGTATTGTGCATGTTGGGGTTGGGTGATAGTGGGTGTGTACAATACCATATGTTTCCAAGTGTTGCATCTGACATAGGACTAATCTAATTACTGTGGATGATTAATACTCTCTGAACCCTCTTTACTTCTGGGTATGAAGTAGCATCTAACTCACTCCATGTTACAGTGCTTTGCCTATCAACATTGTTCTTGTGAAGCCCTGTGTGAGCTATAACTTCAGAGTAAACATATGATGCTAGGGATGTCCATGTTAAAGTGGGCCTGCATTGGCAAAACGCAGATTCACGCTAAACTTTTTAGAAAGCTGTTGCAGAGATAAACCACCCACAGGTTTCATATGTCTCTTTCGAACGCATATGGCACTTGAGGTCCCAGGTCTGTCCACTTGCCAGTGACTTTGTGAGGATGTTCACTCTTCTTTATTAAGGTTCCGTTTATTTTAAATTATAGGGAATGACTCCTAGGTGGGCTGGAACAAAGTTGAGGAGATCTCACCACTAGAGACCTCCAGGTGACTTAGTTGACCAGACCTAATTTTTAGGATTTGCCTTGTAAAACAGAACTGTCTTTGGAGATTGACGAAAACACCAAGGTGTACCTTGTCCACCCTACCCCATTATCTACTGCCTCTATTGCATTGAGCTTTAGATAAACTGTCCTGTGAAAGCTGATTGTTCACAGCGGCTCATATTAAACTCGTAGGCTTAGATGTGACTCTGTGTGTGTGTGAACAGGGCTGTCATCATGCATTCCAGGTTACTGTCAGAAGTGAATTTGTCTTTCTTCGGCACTGTTCACTGCCGAGGCGGCAGACATTCTTCTGCTTTGTATTAATCCAATTATTAAACACCTGCAGACATGCAATAACAATTCTGTTGCCAAGTTCCTCAGAAACAGTTTTTATAGGAGAATGTAATCTGCTATCCCGCTATCAAGAGTCACATTACATATCTGCGGAGTCCTGAGCTAGAAAAACAACAGAGTTCTGACACATGGCAAGTACATGTCATGGATGGGGAAAGAGCCTGAGACTGGAGCCTTGTAACCACACACTGCAAACAATACTGTATAAGAAGCCTAATGTATGATGAACCTCATATATCAAGGGCAAATCTAGTCCCAGGCACATGTGGTACTGGCCGAAGGTCTCTATCCAAGTCCCCCGGGTCTTAGGATTGCAGCTACTACCCCCTAGAGAGGGTCAGAGTGCTAATGGTTTGTCTCTAGGGGAGCGTAACTGCAAAGAGAGAAGCTGTCATGTTGTGTAACAGACACACTGACATCATTGTGTACTGCCCATCCTCTAATGTTGAGCAAGAACTGTATTAGAAGCTTTGGGTCAGACAAAGATCATACAGCAGATATGTAGACTGTCTCTCTCCCCAGAAGTGGAGCAATGCTTAGGGTACCAGGGAAATGTGGACCCCATTTAGTATTGTTAAAAAAACAAAAGCCTGAGAGAACAAAGAGGGGAAAAAGAGAAAAGATGGGGGGAATGGCCGCATGACACAAGTACTGTTCATTATAGCGCTCCTCAACTTTTGATGGAATGCCTAATGCCTAAGTATGCTGATGGTCTTTTAGGGTGTTTGCAACATTCCCATTTGATTCAACTGTGCCTGCAACACCAAAAAAGGTCTGTGAAAGTTAGACCATTATATACTTGTAGCGCCCCCTGGCTGAGAAGTCATGCCCATTTTCCCACATAGCACATAGCCGTAACCTAGGGGCTGGGTTGTTAAGCCAGTTCCAGGCTTGAACATTACTCAGCTTTACAAGAAGGAGTGGCAATGCCCAACAACATCACAGGTTTCTAGCAAATCTTCACCATTAGGCCTGGTCAGGAGCATACATTACTTCGCTACACACTTTGGAACCCCATGTTGAAGAGGAAAAAAGTCCTCTTTCCCACAACCCTAGGCCAGTGGTTGTGGGGGTGTGACAGAATCTGGAAACCCCATTTATCAAGGGGGCACCAGATTTCTGCCCCCCCATGTCACTGAGCATGGGGTACATAAATAAAACATGTTCCCTGATGTAAATCCAGTGTCAATCACAATGAACTCTGACCCACACGGAAAAAACTAAATTTCCCGCCGCCCGCCGAACACGACGGGTTCCATCGAGAGACACTCACCAAAAGACTGCCGCTTCTCCCTCACTGGTAAGTAAACATGGGGGGCGGGGTCACCTGGAGATGTCACTGGGTGACCTCGCCCCCATATTTACTCACCGCTGGGGTAGAAGCAGCTGTCATAACGTGTCTCTCGATGGGACTCGTGTTTGGCGGGCAGCGGGATTTTTTAATTGACCACCAGTGACACTAATCACCATCACGAGTGACACTAATGCTATCAGTTATAATACTGAACACTGCCACTGTACTAATGACACTAGCAGGGAAAGGGTTAACATCTAGGGTGATCAAGGGCTTAAATGTGTGCCTACCATGTGTGTAATGTGTACTTTTTTTTTTGTTATTAACATTTTTTTTCGTTATTAACATTTGCTAGTAATACAGAGTACCTTGTGAAAAAGTCGTAAGTGACGAAACGCGTCAGGGTCGTGACGTCAGACGCTAGGCCGAAAGGAGCAGCGCGGCCATTTTTAAGGTGGTTTTCGGCTTATAACGGACTTATCGAGGATGGACGGTACCTGTTGATAATGTAAGCTGCTAATAAATTATGTATACCTATTTATTACTCCACTGAGTTTGCCCCCATTTGTTCTGTGAGGAACGGGGATCCCGATACCCATTGCTACAGGAGGAAGGGATTCAACTGCGCACTCCTACTAAAGGAAAGCATATTCCCAGTGAAAGAAATCCCATCTGGGAAAAATAAATCTCAGAGTGTTTTCAAAGCAGAAAGAGGGTAATTGTATATTATCCCACGTGCAGAGTGGTGGCACCTATTTTTGGCACAATCTTTGAAAGATCACTTATTGTGTATGTGTTGCATCTCACGTATTGCAGTGGCTGTTTCACAGGGTCACTTGTGAAGTGATGTGTTGATTTTCACCTCACAGGCGTTACTTATTTATTAGTACATATTATATCACCTGTGTGGTTGCATGATATCACTTTTATTTAATTTTATTAAGATAATGCACTATATCTAGTTTATTTTTTCGAGGTTCTTTGGATTGAAGGGAAGATTTGGACATTTCACAGTTTGAAGATTGAAGTACAAGGATTTTAATAATTTTTTTAAAAAAAAAAATTTTTTATTTTATTTTTAATTTTTAATTTTTATTTTGGAACTTGTAATTTTGAATTTGGGACTTTATCATGGATAGTATATTAACAGTTTGAGACGGTGGGAGAGGTTATGTGTGTTATTGAAAAGGTTTATGTTAATAATGTCAGCAAGTATATGTCAATCAGTCAAGAAAACAGCATACAAATGTATAACAACATAGGCAAACTAACACCTTGACCAAAATCTAATGTGTACTTTTTACTAAAGATAGTTTCCCGAGTGCTGTGCTGACTTGTCAATACAGGGTTCTGGGCTGTGATTGGACACAGCTGATTAGCAGGTCCCAGCCATCACTGTGAATCATTGGTTGGGACCTGCTGACGGACTCTCTCTGTGTATAATCACAGGTGTCTGGAGGGGGGGGGGGAGAATGAACGCATGCTACCTAAACTCAGAAACAGGTAGCGATGTACCAGTACGTCACTTTACCTGTACGAGCCGCCCATCTACAGTATATTGCGGGTAGGTAGTCCGCAAGTAGTTAAATTTTTTTTTAACCTCCCTAGCGGTGTGATTATGTCCATATTTCTGTGCTCAAAGTGGTACATTTTTTTGCATGGAAATATGTATTTTTTTTATTGTAGGCCTGTAATTTTTAGGAATAACTCACTGAAATCTGTCTGAACAAGAATCTAGTAAACATCCCGGGTTTGCTACAATTTGAAACACGAAATCATAAATTATAATTTACTAAATAATCATAAAAAATAAAAATATAATAATACATTTAATTCAATAATATAATCAAACCAAAAACACTGAAATTTGAAATAGAGTGCCAAGTTCCCACATCACTGAGCAAAGCTTCAAAATTGTTTTCAGTGTCTGATGACGAATTTCCCCACGAATCATTATTACTCAGTTCTGCAAGTGGTTCTGATTTACTATCGCTGTTCTCTAGCTGGTCTAAAACTGCTTTTGACCTAAAGGGACGCTTTTTGGACACCATGGACATTTCTCAGTTTCAAGGCAGAAAGAACAGTAAAATGCAGGCAGGGCACAGGACAAAGCACTCGGGACAAAATGTATGTGACATCAGTTGACCACCCCCTCCTCCTTAATAAACTACTCTCCCTTGGCATCAGAGACACCGCTCTCTCCTGGTTCTCCTCGTACCTATCCCGACGCTCCTTCAGTGTCACCTACAATGGTGCCACCTCCTCCTCACTCCCCCTCTCTGTTGGGGTCCCCCAGGGCTCTGTCCTTGGACCCCTTCTCTTCTCCATCTACACCTCCTCCCTTGGCAAACTCATACACTCCCACGGCTTCAACTACCATCTCTATGCTGATGACACTCAAATTTACCTCTCCACCCCTCACCTCACCTCCACTTTCTCTGCCCGCATCACTCACCTCCTAAACGACATCTCTGACTGGATGTCGCTCCATTTCCTCAAACTCAACCTCTCAAAACCGAGCTTCTCGTCTTCCCTCCTGCCCGCGCCCCCCCCCCATCCTATCCATCACTACTAACATCACCACCATCAATCCCGCCCTGCAAGCCAAAGTCCTTGGAGTCATTCTGGACTCTAACCTCTCCTTCCAACCTCATGTCAAATCACTCACAAACACATGCAGACTCCACCTCCGCAATATCGCCAAAATACGCTCCTTCCTTACCCCAGACACCACTAAACTACTTGTGCACTCCCTGATTATCTCACGCCTTGACTACTGCAACTCCCTCCTCACCGGCCTACCCCAGTGCAGGCTCTCCCCGCTTCAGACCATCCTCAACTCAGCGGCTAGACTCATCCACCTCACCACCCGCTCCACCTCTGCCACCCCCCTCTGCCTCTCCCTCCACTGGCTCCCTATCGCCCAACGCATCAAATTCAAACTACTCACTCTGACCTACAAAGCCATTCACAACACTGCCCCTAACTACCTCACCAACCTGATTCCCAAGTACCACCCTACCCGTACCCTTCGCTCTTCACAGGACCTCCTTCTATCTTGCTCCCTGGTCTCCTCCTCACACGCACGTCTGCAAGACTTCTCCAGGTCCTCCCCCATCCTCTGGAACTCACTACCCCAATCCATCAGACTGTCACCTTCCCTCCTCACCTTCAGGCGCTCCCTGAAAACCCACCTCTTCAGGGAAGCCTACCCCACCCTCACCTAACTGCTGCTCTCCTTCATTCCTCCTACCACTTCATCCCCCACAGCCACTTCCTCCTGTACCACTACCCCCCCCCCTCCTAGATTGTAAGCTCGAAAGAGTAGGGCCCTATAACCCCTCGTGTGCTGTTTGTAGTTGCTGTAATGTTTCATGTATTGTCCCCCCCTCTATTGTACAGCGCTGAGCAAACCCTTTGGCGCTATATAAACTCAATGTAATGTAATGTAATGTAATGTGAAATGGTTTGATACAGTAATGTTTTACTATGTGATTTTAGTGAATTTAGTGAATGTCACTTTTAAAATGTTAAAATTTCCCGCCAGTTTCGTCCCCCCAGTACGTCCTGACGTCGCAGGGAACGGAACCCAGAAGACGGATGCCAGCATCGGCTGGAGGACATTGCCGGGGACACTGCAGGAGGGACATCACAGGAGCGCAGGACAAGGTAAGTGTAGAAGAGATCCCGGAGCAGCGCTGCATAGTATTCCCGAGTGTAGGTCGGGGTTACCGCTTGTGGTGCTGAAACTTTACCCCGAGCTACACTCGGGAATACCTCCAGGGAGGTTAATGTCAGCACTTGTTTTGTTTACATTCTGCTGTCAGTGGGGAATCCTGTGGTGGACATCTGATCCCTTACAACCAGCTATTTATCCGAATATATGAAATGAACGTCGAAGATACGAAGCAAACTCCGAAAACAAACCGATTCAACATAATGAATATGATGAAACAAAATTCAATGAACGAATGTATCCAAAACTAAATGAAGATTTCCAGCATGCACATGTTTAGTTCCAGGTCTGGTCCATAGACTAGCTCTGCACCATGTTAGAAGTCTGTGTTGCAGAACACAAACCATCATAGTGAGTGTGTCCATAGAATCTATCTGACTACTTCACTTCCAGAACTACTGTCTCCAGACCCCCACCCTCTCCTGACCCAAGCCAGCTGCTAAATAAACTCTCCAGGTACAGTATAGACCAGCAATGGGCAAACTACGGCCCGCGGGCCTTATACGGCCTGGCGGACCTTTTAATCCGGCCCGCGGAGCGTGATACTGTCAGGATGGCTGTCAGGATGTGTGTAGGCGGGGCAGCGTGACGAACTTGAGGGGAGCTGGGCTCCTCTCACAGTCCGCCCTGAAGACCGGTGTAGCATGAAAATCTGTCTCCTATGAGGATCTGTCCCCCTCGACGTATCTGCGCATGTGCCGGAGATCGCCGATCGGCTGCTAATGCCTGAAACTGGCACATGCGCAGATACGTCGAGGGGGACAGATCCTCATAGGAGACAGATTTTCATGCTACACCGGAACGGCGCGGGAACACGGCGAGAGGAACGCGCGGAGCAAAGGTAAGTGAATTGACACAGGGGGGACTTGGGGACTTAATATGGGAAATGAATTACTATAGGGGGGATGAATTACTATATGGGGGATGAATTACTATGGGGGATGAATTACTATGGGGGATTAATTACTATGGGGGATGAATTACTATGGGGGATGAATTACTATATGGGGGATGAATTACTATATGGGGGATGAATTACTATGGGGGATGAATTACTATATGGGGGATGAATTACTATGGGGGAGGAATTACTATGGGGGATGAATTACTATGGGGGATGAATTACTATATGGGGGATGAATTACTATGGGGGATGAATTACTATATGGGGGATGAATTACTATGGGGGATGAATTACTATATGGGGGATTAATTACTATGCTTACTATGGGGGAATATTACTATACTTACTATGGATGACACATACACATCATTCATCTACTCTTGGTCCGGCCCCCGGGTCCAATATATGAACCCATTGCGGCCCTCAAGTCAAAAAGTTTGCCCACCCCTGGTATAGACTGTGCTTCTCCGACCTGCAAGAGACTCAGTAACAAGGCATTGCAGTGGCTTTTATGAAACTTTACTAAATTGAAACAAATGCAAAACATATGGTAATAAAGAGTCCTGACAGTTTTGTATAATCTCCTTTGAATGGTCTTCAATGAGGTAGAAATGTTCTACTAATACTATGTAGGAGGTTGTGCTGTGGTGCTCACCTAGTCACAAGAATTCTCAGGGTGTAACATCTTCAGGTCTTAGGCTTCATGGTGTCCCATGAACTGGTGCAATGTAATACACAGTGGGATTGGATTCATATGGATCCCATTTATTATTATCTTCTTTTATAGATAAGCAATGTGTAGCTGTCCCCAGTATTAAGAAACAGATCACAGCTAATTAGCAGACAAGAGGAAGGATGGGAAATTTAGGCAAAGGTCATGGCTGCCATGATACACTTACAATCCACAGAGGAGTTGAGGAGACAGGAATTTCCCAGCCAGGTCATGTATAAGGAATGTGTTATTGGCTCCCAGAGCTGACTGCAGGGAGAAGAACAGGTTCAGGTGTGATTAATGACAAACCTATACACTATATCTTACTTACAGTACAACATACTAATATTTGCCAATTCTTTGCTGGGGAAGGAGTGGGGAGTGTAGAGTGAAGAATAGCTAAAATTTCAGGTCACATTTTTTTTTTCTGAAAACAACAAAAACTCCCTAGCACTTGGTTTAGCAAGTCAATAATACATAAATACGTACAGTTGTGTTCAAAATTATACCAGTGTGTTGAAAAAAGTGAATAAAGCTCAAAATCCTTCTAATAGCTTTTATTTCCATACACACAAATGCATTGGGAACACTACCCATTCTATTCCAAATCAAAACATGAAGAAAAATATATCAAATTTGTGTTGTTCCTCTAAAAAAATGGAAAAAAGTGACTATTAGACTGTTCAAAAAAATAGCAGTGTTTGTATTCTTCTTTACAAACTCAAACATTCACTATATAAACTGAAAAATGTTTGAAGATTTTGCTTTCCTTTGAATCACTTAATATTTAGTTGTATAAGCACTGTTTCTGAGAACTGCTGTACATCTGTGTTGCATGGAGTCAACCAACTTCTGGCACCTGTGATCAGGTATTCCAGCCCAGGATGATTGGACTACATTCCACAGTTCTTCTCTATTTCTTGGTTTTGCCTCAGAAACTGCATTTTTGATGTCACCCTACAAGTTTTCTATTGGATTAAGATCCGGGGATTGGGCTGGCCACTCCATAACATCAATCTTGTTTGTCTGGAACCAAGATGTTGCACGTTTACTGGTGTGTTTGGGGTCGTTGTCTTGTTGGAACACCCATTTCAAGGGCATTTCCTCTTCAGCATAAGGCAGCATGACCTCTTCAAGTATTCTGATGTATTCAAACTGATCCATGATCCCTGGTATGCGATAAATAGGCCCAACACCGTAGTATAAGAAACATCCCCAAATCATGATGCTTGCGCAACCATGCTTCACTGTCTTCACAGTGTACTGTGGCTTGAATTCAGTGTTTGGGGGTCGTCTGACAAACTGTCTCCGCCACTAGACCCAAAAAGAATAATCTTACTTTCATCAGTCCACAAAATGTTGCGCCATTTCTCTTTAGGCCAGTCAATGTGCTCTTTGGCAAATTGTAACCTCTTCAGCACATGTCTTTTTTTCAACAGTGGGGACTTTGCGGGTGCTTCTTGCAGATAGCTTGGCTTCACATAGGCGTCTTCTAATTGTAACAGTTCTCACAGGTAATTCTAGACCTTCTTTGATCTTCCTGGAGCTGATTGTTGGCTGAGTCCTTGCCATTTTGGCTATTCTTCTATCCATTTGAATGGTAGTTTTTTGCTTTCTTCCACGTCTTTCAGGTTTTGGTTGCCATTTTAAAGCATTTGAGATCATTTTAGCTGAGCAGCCTATCATTTTCTGCACTTCTTTATATGTTTTCCCCTCTCCAATCAACTTTTTAATCAAGTTACGCTGTTCTTCTAAACAATGTCTGGAACGACCCATTTTCCTCAGAATTTCAGAGGGAAATGCACTGTAAACAGCATGTACAACATTTGCCGCCTTCCTTCCTTAAATAAGAGCAATAATTGCCACATGTTTTTCAAAGAATGAATGACCTCACTATTAGAACTCCACACTGCTATTATTTTGAACATGCCCCTTTCAATTAGTGATTCAATTACACAGAATCAGCAGCATGCATGTCATGACTGTTGGGTCTGTTGGATTTCTATTACTCTACTACACCTGCTAGTAAATTACATGCCATGTAGAAATATCATTTCTACCAAAAACAGTGATTGATCAGGTTAGTGATGTCTGACTGCTATTATTTTGAACACAACTGTACATGCTGTACATACATAAATCAATAAACAAGCTTTTCATAAACCCTAACAATAAGCATATTCCATCAAAGCAATATAAAGGAACACTTTTTAATCAGAGTATAGCATCAAGTCAATTAAACTCCTGGGATATTGATCTGGTAAGTTAAGTAGCAGAGGGGGTTGTTGATCAGTTTCAGCTGCTTTGGTGTTAATGAAATTAACAGCAGGTGCACTATATGGGCAACAATGAGATAACTAGAGATGAGCGAATTATTCAAAAATTCGATTCGGCTGATTCGGCGAATTCGCGGAATAAATTTCGATTCGAGTCGAATATATTCGCTGCGGATTTAACTTATAAAAAGGGTGTTTCTAGGCTTCAGAGAGCCTTTATATTAGTGCAGAACACTGTACCTTTAATTTAAATGCCCTTGGAGTCTGCTGGGGAAGAGAAATAATACTGTCAGTCAGTATGACATGCAGATGAGTGCCGTCGATCTTAGAATCACCGCACACTTCACTCATTTGGGCAGTCACGGGGCCAAAACCAGAGTGTGGAGCCACAGTGTGGCGGTGGAGGCAGCAGCAATGGGAGGCCATACAGCACCCTATGAAAAAATGGAACCCACCAGCAGTGTGAGGAGACCTGAAAGTGGCACATGGCAGAGTGTGGCGATGGAGACAGCAGCAATGGGAGGCCGTACAGGGACCCATGACACACTCTGGACCTGGCAGCAGCATGAGGAGGCGGTACAGGGGCCCATGACAGATTACGGGCCTGGCAGCAGCATGAGGAGTCGGTACGGGGGCCCATGGCAGATTACGGGCCTGGCAGCAGCAATGGGAGGCCATACAGCCAGCACCCTATGACAAAATGGAACCCACCAGCAGTGTGAGGAGACCTGAAAGTGGCACATGGCAGAGTGTGGCGATGGAGACAGCAGCAATGGGAGGCCGTACAGGGACCCATGACACACTCTGGACCTGGCAGCAGCATGAGGAGGCGGTACAGGGGCCCATGACAGATTACGGGGCCTGGCAGCAGCATGAGGAGTCGGTACGGGGGCCCATGGCAGATTACGGGCCTGGCAGCAGCAATGGGAGGCCCGTAATCTGCCAGCACCCCTATGACAAAATGGAACCCACCAGCAGTGTGAGGAGACCTGAAAGTGGCACATGGCAGAGTGTGGCGATG